CAGCGTCATTGTCCTCAGCATCATCGCCGTCAATCTCATCTGTGTGGGGGAGGGGCGGGCGGCGACTTGCTCGATTTTGCGCGAGAGTTCCAAAAGTTCGACAGTTACGAGGATGATGACACTGACAAGCACCATCCCTGTACTGTGTTTCTACAGCAGAAACCATGCTACGATAACTTGGATGCACGGATTGACAACGTAGGGACACAGAGTGCCCTGACCGACGTGCAGCGGAGCTCACAATGCAAGGGCTTCAAGTTTGGCATTTCGGCTTTTAGGGATTTTGGGAAAATTGGTTGAGGGAAGAAAGGATCCCAATATGATTGGCTCATATAGAAAAGGACACAGTGCAGCAAAACCGAAAAATGTCCGAGTCTAGAACCTTCAGCGAACACTCACCGTCGGTCGGGGAGTTTATCCTGGCTGGGGTCGATTTTGCATAGGGGATCCCCGCAAATAATTCACATACAGGGGTTTACTAACTCAGTGCCAAATGGGGCCAAATCGGAATGACTTGGCCGCACCTATTGTCTCCTGAGTTCGCTATACACGCTGTACCTGGCCGTAGACCCTCTGGGGACACTAGCCAAGAAAGCTTGAAACCCCCAGCCCTAGACCCTCATTGAAAAGATTCAGAACATGCCCTCGACTAAGGGAAAGGCGACAACACTCGCCAAATATTACACTATGATATTCAGACGGAGTCCCCCGTGGGTCACAGCTCTCGAATCAGTCTACACAAAACATATATATATATATGTATACAGTATACAGTATATATGTAGAAAATGATGGAACCTTGATTAGGGAGCCTTATCATCAAGATCTGGATAACTTATTATACTAGAATTAGAACTATTAGAACTATATGTGGGCTACAAGAAGATGCTGTTTGTAGATATTCCGATTCCTATATTCGACACTGCCATGCGCCAAGACGCCAGAGTGGGCATTGAAAGTATCTAGAAAGTCCAGGACATCAAAGTCGGGATCATCGGCATTGAACCTGATTCCATCAAAAGGAGTGAGGGCTTCAGGAGAAGGCTTCTGTGGCTAACTTCTGGAGAGTGATTCTTAAACACTTGAGCTGCTCGGGAATATGCCAAACACATCAGAGTGACGGAATTGCGCATCAAATGCGCAATTTTTGCGGCAGCAGCGACTGAGGGCTTCCTTACGAGTTTCAACTCCTCCGCTCTTCCTGCTGATGCCAGCCCCTTCAACCTTCAATCCTCCTAAACCCGAAATGCAGGTCAAGAGAACAGTCATCCTAAACTCTGACCCCAAAGGCCCGCCAGCCTCATTTCGATAATGCCGGCAGTGGGGTGCGTGTGGGTTAGCCCCTACATTGACGAAAGTCGCTTTACAAGAACCCCGCATCGTCCAAACCACGCCCCAGCTGCTGCAGAACCCCGAGGCCTTCAATTACCGTCTGAAGCCTCAAAGAGCCTCAATCCCCGGTTTAAGGAAGCGGTTAGGATGTACAAGTCTGAACCGCTGAACCCCAGCTTAGAGCTCGGCTGCAGCGGATCGGAGTAGCCGAAAGACAGCAGCCTACAAGTAGGTTTAGGGGTTTAGGGCTTTAGGGCTTTAGGGGCTTATGGGTTTGGGGACTTGAAGCCGGAAGATTGAAGGTTCTTGGGGCTCGGGGTGTCGGGTTTAGGGGCGTTTCGGGTGTCCGGCTTATGGGTTCAAGGTCTGGGGGGTCTAGAACTTCGTGTGCTGATGCCTCCACTTCAGGTGGCGAGGTTCGGACTCAGGGTTTCATGGCAGAGTTGCTAAGCTGGGCCTTTAGGGCTTGGGGTTTAGGGTTTAGGGGTTTTGGGTTTAGGGTTTAGCGTTTAGGGGTTTGGGGTTTAGGGGCGGGCAGCTGTTACAGCTCAACTGAGGCACTCAAGTTTGGTGTTGAAGGCTAGGGGTCCGAGCCGTATGGGCTCCAAACCCAAAGCCCGGAACAGTAAAGTGTGGCTGAGGACCGTTGATCTCAGAGAACAGCAGTCACGACGGAGCCGAGCAGCAAACCAAAATCATCATGACTGAGACTCACACTGAACTTCGACTATGCCCTCTTAAAGAACTGGGTTTAGAGGCCTGGGGCTTAGGGTCTGTTACCACCGGCGCCAGCATCCCAGCCGATCCTTTGCGTTTTGGTGTCTGTTCCTTCGGGTGTAGGAGTTTTAGGGATGTAGGGCCCTGGTGCAGCCCAGCACAGCCCCACAAGCACGGCCTCAAGGCGATGATACCCAGGATGCACTCGAAGTTCACGCCCTTCACCCTCACAAGCTGAAACACACAAAAAAGACTACAACAATAAGACTAGCTGTGGGAGGGAAGACCAAAACCATCGAAGCAACAGCCGAAAATCACAACTAAGGCAACCATCCACAAACAAGGCCACAAACAACGGTTACATCAGCGGAAGGAAAACCTAACAGGACCTAACAGTAATAAGAACAGTAAAAGGAAGGCTCGGATAGCTAGAAGCACCAACAGCAAGAATGGCAGCCGTGATAACAATGACTATACTCAACAATCTGGGCATGGAAGGCTCCACGGTTGACAGCAGACACGAAACACTACTGACAGCAATGTCAATAACACTACTAGGTCACTAGTACTGCTACTGGGCACAGTGACAGTAACTTACTGGCAAGAGTGAAGTACCACAGCAGAAATTATGTCAAGCAGAACAATGCCTGCAATGGTGATAATTTGATAATACCGCAACATAAATCGCCATCATGAATTGCGATTGTTGCCATGACAACGAATGGAATCAGCACTGAGCGAAGTACGCTATCAATCCATATTGCAATGGGAGCACTTGCAGCAGCAGGAATCGCAACGGAGGCACACACACACACCACAAGAAGACGACAGCGTGGCCTACACACGATGCACAAAGCTCAGGGGTCAGCCAGGACCAGTTGATGAGATCCTGCACCTCGTGTTTCGGAGCTCGGATATCTAGAGTTGACTGTGTGGTTAACTCTGTCGGCGATATGGGCACACTCAACAGACTTGAATCATAGCTGTGAGGTTCCGGCTTGTTGGATGAGCTTCCGTGTGTGAGGCTGTGGTTGTCATGCGATGTTCTTTTTGCGGCTGTCCTGTAGAGATGTTGTAGTGTGCCGATGAAACTCAGTTAATGCTTCTGCGACTCCCCCGTGATGATCCTATGTTGTTGTAAGTTCATATAAGGTTCCACATGTTCTTGCTCGAAAAGAATATGACAGGAGCGACTGCCCACAAGATGTCTACTGCAGCCTAGTTTCGACCCCATCAACACATTGGTTTCGAGAACATCCGAAACCCAAACCCCAAACCGTGAAAGCCTCGAACCCGAAGACTCGTACCATAATCCCTAAACCCTAAAACCCTAAACCCTAAACCCTAAAAGAACATAACCCCTAGTCCCTAAACCCTAAACCCTTAACGCGAAGACTCGAAACTCTAAAATCCCAAAACGAAATGGTCTCAGCACTGTCAAAGAAAACCGGTGCCTCTCGGTGCTCAGCTAGGGCAATCCAAGAGTCCTTGCTGCGACTTCAGGGAACTTTCTGCAAAATTCTGCAAAAAGCTTCGTCGGTTAAGGGTTAGGGTTTAGGGTTTAGGGTTTGAGCTTAGAACTTGCTGTAAATATGGGAACATGATGGATCAGGGTTCATGGCTCAAGGCATCTGAGCAAACTGGTGATGCTCCGAGCATAACCGAAATCACTTGTCCCTGCATTGGAACCAGTACGACAGCGACAGCGGAAACTAGATAATTACTAGTCCATGTCCACACCGTCAATACTTTCACACTAAAATTGTAGGAATCGCGAAATAACTAGATTCTGTAGATTCCGAGTCACATCCTCTTCGTTGTCTCTGTACACGTAGTGCCCGATCTTGGTGCGGATCTCTGCCCACTTGTGCTGGTTGTTGGCATGCCGGCAGTACGTGCACCTGAGCTGCTTCACTGAACCCGGATTTCTCAATGCAATGCCGGGTTCACCTGTCGCACAAAGTATACTTTTTGGTACAGGCGAGCCATTATCGACGTCGTCAACTGAACGATGGTGGACTATATCCGCAGCATCCGTTATCCGACAAGCAGATTCGTGTTCTGAGAAGGCAGAAGCCAAGAAAGGCCAGCTTCCCACAGCTTCGAAGTGCCTGTTATCGAAGCCCATGTTCCGATATTGTCACTCCAAGTTTGTATCTGAATGTTTGAAGATGTCTCCACAAAGACACCGACACACTAAAGGCCAAAGCTCCAGGGGAATGAGGACACACACACACACACCCGGGCATAGGCGCCCTGCTGGCCATCGCACTCCGACCTCTCGGCCATGAAGCTGTAGGTCTTCGAATACTCCTGACACCAGGAACGAGAGCAATGCGACGAATCTGTTTGGTCTGGCTGAACATACGGTTGTTCGTGTTAATACTACAGGCATGACATGTAAGGTATGCGTGCTTACACACTTGTAGGCATATGGCAGCCGTCTTCGTAGTCGTAGTTGTAGCCGTAGTGTAGCCGTAGTCGCAGTGGTAGTCGTAGTAGTCGTAGTTGTAGTCGTAGTCGTAGACGTGACCATAGCTAGCCGTTCGGAGCAGCAGTAGTCGTAGTCGTCGTCGTCGTCGTCGTAGTCGTGGTCGTCGTCGTGACATCGTGGTCGTGGGAGTGGGGAGTGGTGGCGGCGGTGGTGGTGGTGGCGGTGGTGGCGATGGTGGCGGTGGTGGCGGCGGCAGCGGCGGCGGCGTGGCAGCGGTGGCGGTGGTGGCGGCGGTAGCGGTAGCGGATGTGGTGGTTGTTGTAGAAGCCTTGTGCACGCATAACCACACTTTGCCTGTTGAAAGATTTATCTTTGTGGCCAAATATATGCAAGGCTGTTCATGTACTTGTAGCCATAGGATGCCAAAACCCACACCTGTAGCTGCATGTGACATGTACGTGAGCTCGCTGTATGTGTGTGTGTGTATATTAAAATATATATATATATATATACACATACATAGATACATGGATACATAGGTACATGGATACATAGATACATGCATACATACATACATACATACATACATACATACACACACACACATGGGAATATCATATATACAGATGATTACAGATAGATATACATGGGTAAGCTAATATAGAATGCCAAACCATGTGTACGTGCACATGTTTATACAGACATTGAGTTCTTCGGTTGCTGGGGTTCCACTTGCAAACAGGTTTAGGACTTGAATATTTGAGGGTTTGGGGTCCAGGGATCACAGTCAATCAGCAGGGCTAGATGTCCCTTTTCGGATGTCGAAGCATATGAAACTGGACTTTGGTAGCACTTGCGATCCGTGCATCGATTCTTTTCTGAGGCGCCGCGAAGCACGAAAATCGATGTCGGACATACCCAACAGCTAGGCAGCAGGCGTCTGTGGACTTTCCTCCAGCTTCGAAGTGTGCCTCTTGAAACCGGCTTGAGAACACTCAAAGAGAGTAGCCCTCATCCACCATTCTCCTACTGAAACAGTACACACTTACATCCAAAAGGCTAAGCCCTACATCCTTGAACCCATAAACTTCAACCCTCAAAAAGCCACCAAATCCTAAATGCTAAACCCTAAACCCTTCAGCTTTACCTTGTAGCTACCCTTCTTGGAAGGCTTCCCTAGCATCCCTTACCCCATCGGAACGGGCTTTCGACCCTTTGGCCGAAGGAAAAGCCCGAAGAGTCCGACTTACGTGGTGCTGTCGCCTGGGCGTCTTGGGGGCTTTAGGACATAGGGCCTGGGGCCTTGGGTTCAAGTCCTTTTTGGGGTTTAGGGTTTAGGTGTTGGGGTTGGGGGGTTGAGGGGTTTAGGGGTTTAGGGATTTAGGTTTTAGGGTTTAGGGTTGAAGGGTTGAGGGTTTAGGGTTGAAGGGTTTAGAGTTTAGGGTTTATAAGGTTTATTGTTAAGGGGTTTAGGGGCTTAGGGTTTATTTCTGTTACGAATCGAAAATTTTAAGGTTCGGAGTGTTGAGAGGCCTTGTGCCCACGTGCCTGTGTCACCTCCGAGCATGCTAGTGGGCAACACCCTTACAGAACTAGGTGGGCTGCCTGCGATGTCCACCATGAAAACGGGATAGAGTAAGGGGGCCTTATTTAGGGTAGTTCTCTAAATTAGGGTCCCGTTTTAGGTCCCCAATAGAGTACGGCACCCTTACACAGAGGAACCTAAAAAACGGACCCTAATTTAGACAACTACCCTTATCGTCTCCAGACCTTGTTCTAAGTCTTCAGCCAAGCCTGCTGAAGTCAGCTATGTCACCTGTTTTGGCACGCCAGCGCCTCCCGGATGTGGCTTTTGCCTCCTCTCACGTGGGCCACATGGGGCTTTACCCAGAGAGCCATACTGTACATCCCCCTAGTCTAGACACACACCCTAAATCAAAATATTAGGCCCGCCTTGGTATATTCCTCAAGTTTGGATGGGTTGAACTGTCTGGGGAGGGTTCATCCGAAAGGTCAGAGCCTTCTTCAGTCGAACCAGCCCGGATGCTGCCGAACCTGGGTCTTTACAGTCGATTCGAAAAGGAGTCGAGTAAAGCAAGACGGACCACCGAAGACCTGGTTCCAAAACTCTCAGTCTGTGCACCTGCACATTTCACCCCGAACCCCGTAACCCTCTACGTCCAACTCCTTTTGACTTTGAAGCGCTGCTCGGCGTCCGAACGTTGCGAAGGTAAAGGACATGCGCACAGCACGGCGAACATAGTCGCTCACGTTTCGTGATCCGAAGTCAGAAAAAGAGCATAAAGCCGCGTGTCGCCCCGAGGGACCAAGCACACGCTCCAACGGAGGAATCCCCCGGCCCGCGGGCCCAAGCAGGGATAAACGCAGCTGCACGATGGAAGCTCAGAAGAAACAGAATGACAAGTAAATTGAGATAATAACAACAGAATGCAACAACTGCAGCAGCTGCCTGTGGAAACAAACGTGCATGCAAGTACGGCAAATGCTTCTGAGATCTGTAAATGAGGCAATCAAGGATGAACAATGCCGTATACCGAACCTAAAGGTCCTGCACGAGAACTAATCTCAGGTGTAGCACATGCATTGATCGAGAAGGCAATGTCTCAGCTACGAAATTGCTCAGAAAGACAAGTTGTATGATGAAATCAGGGAGTCAGCGGCTCAGTATGAATAATGCACTAGATGAATAATACAGCATTCACAATAACACAATAAGAAAAGATCAAGTTGGTTACTAAGCCACCGACCAAAATTTACAAGTCAGGTGTACCTGGCCCAGTAGCAGCTCGCAATGCACACAGGTAATGCATGCAGAGCAGGCAGCTTTACAAATCAAAAAAGAGGCGGTCAGCACACGATCGCTATCATCCCTTATGAACGTTGAATATATACAGGCACAGCAGCCGAGGCCCGACACTGAAGAGCCGATCAGAGTCAGCCACTGTCAGGATTTACAAATCAAGTGCACCAGGTACCGTGGCAGCACAGAATGCAAGCACATGGTGCTTGCAGGTGGGCAGCCTTACAAGTCAGAAAAGAAGTTGCCCTGTCCCGATCTCAATCAACATTGTAAGACTGTCGCAGTGTAAGCCTGCAGATTTGGCATTGGGAAGTTCACAACACTGAAGGATACAAAGCTAATATATGCAACAACAGGAAAGACATCGCATCCACGCACCAATGCCCAATGCAATAAAGCTTACACGTGCTCCTAGCTTTCATGCAAGCTGTATGTGACAGCTGAGCAGCAAGGACTTGAAGACCTAAAGTCCAGAGTCATGAGCTAAGAACTACATGAGCCAAGATTAATACCAGGATCGAACGGTAGAATCACTGCAGTGCTGCCATCAGAGCCATGAATTGAAAATCATTGCATGCTATCAATCAATCGTGCCAAGATTGAGAAAGAATATGCAACAACAGCTTGTCTCCCGCATAACAGGATGCATGCAAAGACTCGGGAATGAAGATTCCTTGCTGGCAATTTGATGACATGACCACTGTCCAAGGAGCATCAATATGAGCCTGAACAATCGATAAGCCACACTGTACACAGTAACAGACTTCATATGCCAGGAATCATGGAGCATGACACTTGAAAGAGGAGCATAGCCATCCAGCTGCAACAGTGAGCTACCCCGAACAAGACTAAGATAACCTGAACATCAAAGCATGAGAAGCGCTGGCTGACCATCCTCAGTGACTCACGAGCTGAAAAGTCATCAGCCCGAAATCAGCTTTGCCATGCAGGCAAGGAGACACAGGAAAAATTAGCAGCAGACCAGCCCTGCCACATGAAGTGCACCTCAGGTGTCTTGAATTCGACACAGGCCAACAAGATAACCATTGCACTCGATAGCACGGTGGTCAGAGGCTGAAGCAAGGCGAGGCTTGGCAGAATCGTTACAAATCATAAATTTCCAGCCGCTCGAAAAACCAACACATCGACTAGGTACTGACAGTGCTGTTTGATAGTGACCTGTATGCGGTGTGGCCCCAAGGTGATACACAACAAAAGCCACTCTACAGTTGATCATAGCCGTGAGGGTGGAATCTGGTTGACCGAATAATCTCAACTCTCATGTCCAACTTGTTGATACCATCAGCCTCATCATGGGTAAATCGGTGGAGTTGTACGATCAGGACACCACCAAAATACGACATGGCATGTATCTGTGCTTGACCCTCCCACACATCCAAGCAGGACTGAAGCGTCGGTTCCAATCTATCCAATTTCAGCGGGAGCAGCGTCGTGCCCTTGTCAACCACCCGAATCGCAGTACCTTGAGCGAGCCGGGCATGCCACTCTCCACAGAGGGCCGGAGGCTTGGCATGACGCAAAAAATGAGCACAAAACTCAGCAGCGTCGTGTTGTTCGTGCGCCTGAGGCCAGGTAGCAAACACTGCAAGCCATGGTATCGCATTTGTAAGCTGAAGATTCCGGGCCCCATACACAATGCTCAGACAGCCAGAACAAGTGCCACCTGCCAGGGTATTGCTCTGAAGGATATAACCCAACCAGCTGAAAGCAATGGCCACGGCATTGGCATAACACAAGTTATGAGGGTTGGATAGCACCATGATAGGGGCCACATAGCTGGAAAGAGGACGTAGAATAAGACGGGCGCCTGCTGTACCAGAAACATCTAGCCCAGGAGCTCCGCCAGCCGATTGGCTAGCGGAGAGCGACCCAGCCGCTCGCGGCGAAAGCGTCCGCCTATAAGCTTCCATGCTGTGCAGTTGATCATCCGCCGAAGCCAAGCATGAAGATTCTGGGCTTCCTCGCCAACAGTCTCGATTTCCAGGAGTAGTCGCCAGGTGTCCCCCGTCATGT